GTTTGTGGAGAGGAAGGGGAGGAGAAGGAGAGAGGAGAGGAGAGGAGAGGAGGAGGAGGTGGAAAGCAGGAGGAGGAGAAGGAGGAAAATAATGACTGTGGGGTCCTTGGTGCTCTCTGAGCTGAAGTTGTTTCCTTGCAAACGTTTCATGACCCAACTAGGTAACGTCATCGGCTCTAGAAGGGGGTGGGGTTAGGGTTTGCAGAGAGGAAGAAGAGGAGGACAAGAACGGGTAGTGGGGACATTGGTGCTCTCTGACTTGGGCTGTTCTCTTGCAGGCGTTTCCTGACCCAACTAGGTAACGTCATCAGTGCCAGAAGGGAGGAGGGTTTGCAGAGACCAGGGAGGGGGAGAACGGAGGGCGAATACCTGTATTTTGTGTGTGTTGGCTTGTCTCTCTCTGTGTGTGTGTGTCTCCTTTTACATATATATGTATGTATATTTCTTTTTGCTTTCCAGATTAAGACATCAAGCTCACAAAGAACTTTACGCCTACAAACAGGTGAGCCTGGTTTAACTTTCCCTTATCCAGGCAAATGGAGAATAAATTCTCATTATTTGCATCAGTTATGCTCTAATGCAGGGGGGTCCCAAAACTTGGCCACTTTTAACACGTGTGGATTTCAACTCCCAGAATTCTCCAGCCAGCAGAGGATTCTGGGAGTTGAAGTCCCCACGTCTTAAAAGTGGCCAAGTTTGGGGGACCCCTGTTCTATTGCCTTAATAAGACCACACTTGGAATATCGCATCGAGTTCTGGATGCCACAATATTAAAAAAAAAAAATGTTGTTGAGACTCTAAAAAGAGAGCAGAGAAGAGCAACGAAGATGATTAGGGGACTGGAGGCTAAAACCTATAAAGAAGGGTTGAGTGATCTACGTATGTCTAGTTTGACGAAGAGAAGGACCAGGGGAGGCAGGATAGCAGACTTCCAATATCTCAGGGGCTGCCCCAAAGAAAAGGGAGTCAAGCTATCATCCAAAGCCCCTGAAACAGGAGAAGCAGCAATGGCTGTTAACACGGCGAAAACCAACCTGGGAGTCCAACGCTCCGTTTGTCTTGAGACGGTATAAAAACTCCTCCTTTGGGCACAAGGTTGGACTAGAAGGCCTCCAAGGGTCCCTTTCAGCCCTAGGCTTCTAGGAATTCGTCTCTTTCCAGCAAGGACTGGGCCATTTTAAAGTGAGCCATTGGATGACTCTGCATTTGTCCTATAAGCAGAACCACCAAGGAGTCCTCAGTGAGGAAGCCGTAGCCGTTTTAAGATTCTAAATCTTACAAACATCCTTCCATTAGTCACCTCTGGATTTCAACTTCCCAGAATTCCCGAGCCCAACATGATGACCGTTGCTGAGAATTCTGGGAGTTGATGTATAAGGTAGACTTCCTGGTTGAGGAAAGTTCATTCATTCATTCATTCATTTATTCATTCATTCTAAAGACTTCAGAAAATGCTTTTGCTTGTATTTTGGTTTTTTGCTTGCTTTGCATTGATAGCATTCTTCTACCAACGTATTATTCTTTATTTTCAGGTGATCCTAAAGGAAAAAGTCAAAGAACTCAATTTGCACGAGGTAAGCTGGTCTCTCAGTTGCTTAAACTGCCATTGATTAAGTTCTCAGCATCTCAGGCTAAACCATACATACAATGAGCGATTGAGGGAAATAGATGTGTCTAAAAAGAAGGCCTAGGGGTGACACGATAGTATTTCAATATCTCTGGGGCTGCCCCAAAAGATGAGGGAGTCAAGCTATTCTCTAAAGCTCCTGAAGGCAGGACAAGAAGCAACGGGTGGAAACTGATCAAGGAGAGAAGCAACCTGGGACTAAGGAGGAATTTATCTCCGCAATTAACTAGTGGAACAGTTTGCCTCCATAAATTCTGGGTGCTCCATCACTGGAGGTTTTTAAGAAGAAATTGGACAGCCATTTATCTGAAATGGTATAAGGTTTCCAGGCTGAGCCTGAGGTTGGTCTAGAAGACCTCCAAGGTCCCTTCCAACCCTGTTATTCTATGTTCTATTTTGTTATAAGTCAAGCTCCACCTCCATTGTCACGTCTAGATCTTCATTGTAATTTAGCCTGGGTAACAGACTGCTTTTGGAGTTCATGTCTGTCTGTCTATCATCTATATCTACTATATCTATCTATCTATCTATCTATCTATCTATCTATCTATCTATCTATCTATCTATCTATCTATCATCTATCTATCTATCTATCTATCATCTATCTATCTATCTATCATCTATCTATCTATCTATCTATCTATTATCTATCTATCTATCTATCTATCTATCTATCTATCCATCCATCCATCCATCCATCCATCCATCTTTCTACCTACTATTTATCATCTATATGTACTTATCCATCATCCATTTAACTATCTATTATTTATCATCTATCATCTATTTATCTACTATTTATCTACTATCTATCATCCACCTATCTATCTACTTATCTATCTTCTATCTATTATCATCTATCTGTATCTACTTTTTATCATCCATTTATCATCTATCATCTATCTTTGCTATTTATCCATTTATCTACTATTTATCTACTATCATCCACCTACTATTTATCTCTTCTATCTATCAATCTACAATTTATCAATTTATCTATCTACTATCTATCTACTATTTATCTATCTTCTATCTATCATCTATCTGTCATCCATCCATCTATATCATCTATATCTATTTTTATCATCCATCTATTATCCATTTATCTATCTATCTATCTACCTATCATCTATCTATCTATCTATCTATCTATCTATCTATCTATCTATCTATCCATCTATCATCTATCTACTATCTATCTATCTATCATCCATCTATCATCTATCTATCATCTACTCTTTCTCTCACCTCTTCGTCTCTCTAATCTACCTGTCTGCTGATCGTGTCTGTCTACCTGTCTTATCAAATGTAGAAACCAACCATCTCATTCCCCAGAGCAAAACAAAGCAGAATTACTCCCCCAGAACCAGCTGGACGCATCCAGCGAACTCCCTCCTAATGGGTCTCCATGGAAGGAGAGACTTTAATCCTAGCGCATGGGGTGATGTCGCCACCCAGCTGACCTTGGCTCACCTGGGAAAGGGCAGGCAGGGTTTGATCTGGGGCGTTCTCAGGCAGGAAACCCATCAGGGAAATGCAGAGTTGGAACTAAGATTGGGAAGGTGGAAAAAAGAAAAAACATTGTCCCAAGATAACAATGACTAGACCAGGTTCTGGCCAAAACAACCTCCAGGAGTGTTTTATGTTGTTGAGTTCAACTACAGGCTGGTTTTCCATTTTTACTCCCAAATCCGTAGCAATACCCAGAAACCCTTTCAAAAGTAGGAATAAGAATCAGAGAAAATTCCCAGCAAGTTTAAAAACCAAAACCAAAAACAATGACTCATTCTTCCTCAGAAGTTGGGAGAAACCCTGTTGTGTTTTCCCTACTGACTAAAAGGTAATTTTAATGGGTTTTGCCCAGCTTTTCGATCAAAGTCATGTTATGCACGGTAGGTGTTTTCATTGTGCAGGAAAAGAAAAAAGAGATTTTGCCTTTTTATAGACGCAGGGAGCATTTCCCTCCGAGACAACCGTTGGAATTATTTATTGATTTTCCAGAAAATTCCTTTTGGCTGTTTTATTAACATCCCCCAATCCCTCCTTGTCCCATTTCTGTGTTTTTGACATTCCCTTGCAGACTCTGTAAAATCAGAAAAAAAGACAAGATTGGTTTAAAAAAACCAAACAGGGAGGGAGGGGAAGGGAGGGAGGGAGGGAGGGAGGGAGGGAGGAAGGAAGGAAGGAAGGAAGGAGAGGAGGGAGAGAGAGGAGAAGAGGAAGGAAGAGATGGAAAGAAGTAGAAGAAGGAAGGAGGGAAGGAGAGGGAGGAAGGGGAAGGAAGGAAGGAAGGAAGGAAGGAAGGAAGGAAGGAAGGAAGAAAGAAAGGAAGAAAGGAAGAGGAAGGGGAAGAAGTGTCAGAAGAAGCGAAGGTCAGAGAAAAGAGCAAGGGGAAGGAATTAAGAGGAAGGGAGGAACGAGAAAGGGAAGAGAAGCTCAGAGAAAAGAAGACCAAGGGGAAGGAAGGAAGGAAGGAAGGAAGGAAGGAAGGAAGGAAGGATGGATATATATATATATATATGGAGCCTGGGCCATCTGTCAGCCCTCAGATGGAGAGTCAACAGCCCCCAGGTCTGGAGGTGGCTGATGAGGAAGAGGAGGAACTGCTGGGCCCAGTGCCTGACGCAAGGATGCACAGAAGGCAGAGGAGAGGAGAGCCGTGGAAATCTATGGGCCGGTCCTTGGGGTGGAAGAGCCACTGCTGCTAGTGAGGCCCCACCCGAGCTCTGGGGATCAAAGGCAGTGGGGGGCGGAGATGAACAGGGGTGGCAGGCAACTATTCATCTCCCTGCCGGACAGACTTGTGAGCCTGAGGTGGGAGACGAACCTTTTGCCAGGGCAATAAAGGAATCTTTTGAGTTCACTTCAGAGGGTTTGTCGTGTTTGGGGAGCTGGGTGAGAACACCCACATCTATTTCTGCACATGCAGGATATTCTGGATCTAACTGCCTAGCTGATAAAACGATGCCTTTTTTAAAACAAAAAACTTTTCTTCTGCTTCTTTTTCAGATCTGTGCGGTTTGTTTAGAAGAATTCAGACCCAAAGATGAACTGGGAATTTGTCCGTGCAAACACGCGTTCCACAGAAAGTAAGTCCCGATCGGCTAGGACACGGCGCTCCCCGTTTGGAAACATTTCAGGCTCGTGGACTTAAAACTCCCAGAATTCCCCGGCCAGCATGTGACCGCGGGGAAGGTATTGGCTGCATCCCCCGCCATCACAGGAGCAAAATTCGGGCACTTGGTAACCGGCATGTGTTTTATGACAAGTTTGCTGGATTTGTTTAACTACCATATGATTCACTTAACAGCAGCAGTGATTCGCTTAACGGCTGTGGGGGAAAAAGTCACCAGGTGGGGCCAAACTCATTTAACAACTTACCTTGCTTAGCAACAGAATTTTTTGGTGTCGTTTAATGACCTCGTAATCCCTTCCGGGGTGGAGTTGAGGCAGCTGAATGGAGCTGAGTGTTTACTGGCTGGATGCCCTTCCTGTTGCTGGTGCGGAGTTGGCCGCAGATCTATTCTCATTGTACCCAGAGAGAGAAAAATATCTGCCTCCGTCTAGGCTCGAACTCACAGCCTCCTGATGGCGAGGGGAGAGCTCTAGGCCACCGTACCACTCCTCCTTAGCAACAAAAAATGCTAGGCTCAATTGGGGTCGTAAGCTGAGGACTATCTCTGAAGCTTATTTTTCTTTCTTTCTTTCTCCTGACAGATGCCTTATTAAGTGGTTGGAGGTCCGAAAAGTTTGTCCTCTCTGCAACATGGCCGTCCTGCAGTTGGCCCAGCTCCACAGCAAGCCGGATCACCCCGGACCGCCCCAGGAACCCCTGCCTGGCACAGCCAACATTGTATAGCTACCCGACGGCTGCCCCTTCGTCCTCCCTCACAGACTCCAATTCCCGCAGAGACTCCTCGCCAATGGCTGGGCCCGCTGCTCACGGCCTCCAAGCGTTTTCTCGGGCACCCTTTATCTCATGAAAAACAAAACAAACAAAAAAATCCGACCGGGACTCACCGAAGGGGGAACCGATTTCCCTCCAACTAGGGTGGAAGGGAAATAAACCCGACCGGATGGGAGCTGCAAGGACGCAGGAACGCTGGCGAGTCTCCGGTTTTGTTTTGTCTCTTCGATTTTATTTTATTATTTTTTTCTTTTTCTACGTGCACTTTACCAAGAGTCTTGGATTCAAATTCAGGCGGCCAGCAAGAAAGAGAAAAAGAGAGAGAAAGGAAGAGAGAGAGAAAGGAAGACGCCATGGGGAGCAAGCGAGAGTCCATCTCCAGTGAGAGAGAGAGAAAAGCCGCAACGTGAGAAAATTTGCGTTTGGATTCCAGCATCTTTTCGCAAACGGCTTCAAGGGGTCCCGGAGCCGAAATCCAGCAAGAGAATCCTTGTTGGAGGAAGAGCCAGGAGGACGATAAGATTTCGAACAACTTCAGTGCGATTTCCTGCGACGTCTGGATCGGGAAAGGGAATTCCCTCCAGAGGAAACACCGCTCCGTTCAAAAAACGAGGACGGGGTTCTCCTGGAATTGTGACTTTGAGAGAAGGGGGGCGGGCGTGGCCAATCTACCCGAAGCCTCGGGGAATAGCCCGGTGAAAAGGGAAGGCGGGAAGAAGGTTCTCGCCGACGTCGGCTACTTTAGGAGACACCAAGGAGGCGCCGATGAGGTCCCTTTTTCAGCCTGGATAAATTCCTTGGGACTTTTGTAGGGACAATGGGACAGGCCGCGCGACCTCCGCTTCCCATTCCCCTAATGTGAATCCTTTCCCGGATGGTTTGCCGGCACAGAAAAGACGCCTGCGGAATTTGCGTGTATTTTGGGTTTTCTTTTTCTTTTCCCCCCCCAATGTAAAAGTGAGGTGCATTTTCGGGCCCCGGATGGAGTGTTTAAAAAACGGGTTTTGCGAGAGTTACGAGCAGATTTGGGTGGCGCAGTTCCTCCGAGTAGAGAGCAACGGTTGTAAATATATATATATATATATTTACAACCCAGGCTTAGGTCGCGCGTGCTGGTTGACCAAGACGGAAAATAAATAAAATGAGGGAAAGGCGAGGAATTCTGAAAACACCCCCCACCCCCCTGCCCGAAATCTCGTGATATTGCCAAGAGCCCCCCCCCCCCCCCCCCTCTTGTGTGAAATCAGCCAGAACTTGTCAAATGTTTTATTTCAATTATTATGGGGAAGCAGCTAGGATGGCTTCTACCCATTGCCCTTATCATCATCATCATCTTCTTTTAACGACTCCATAATCCCTTGCGGGGTGGAGTCTGGGAAACTGAATGGAGCTGAGTGTTTACTGGCCGGATGCCTTTCCTATCCCCAGGGCGGAGTTATATTCAGAAGAGATATTCTCATCGTGCCCAGAAACACCTGCCTCTGCCCAGGATCAAACTCTCACAGCCTCCTGATTGTGAGGCAAGAGCTGCACCACTCCCCGGTTGCACTTATATCCCACCCCCAAACTGGTGACTCTACTGGTGAGTGTGGGACTACAGCTCCCAAAATTCCCAGCCATTCCAAACTGAGAA